CTGAGGACCCAGGAGACTCGAGAAACTCCCAGTCAGGCTGCCAAGACTCTCAAACGGGATGCGAGTCGCTCAGCCAGAAAATAGACCCTGTCCCCCGCCTTATCAGAAAAACCTTCAAATCCAAACCTCACTGACTGTCGCTGCATTTGTGTGTCAGGCGTCATGTGTCAGGTATCGATTGGAGACCTCAGGGAGGGAATGATAGGCGAACGAGAGGTCAGGGTGCGTAGGAGAGTGATGACAGCGCTGTGATTAGCATTCGTTGCTCAGAAGTGGTGAGAGCTTGTACGGTGTCGGAGCAAATGGAAAGCGGAAGGATTTAAAGGAGTAAAACCACTTTCTCACATGTATCTTTTTAGATGCCAATATAAGTCATAGATTACATTTGAGCTTTTCGTTTCTTTTGAGTATCTTTTTGAAACGCACTCATGCTGCTGATCCAGGTACCGTGGGTTAAAGGCGAGGATTGAAGCCGAGTGAGGGATTGGAAAATACTGAGACATGGAGAACAGAGAGGCCCTCTCTTATTATCCTGTTACACTCTCGTGTTTTCACTGGCAGAGGCGAAGCCCTCAACGCTCTGTGCTACGTGGGCTGCACAACGCAATACTTGAAGAGTAACCCCAGAAGGAGGAGTGATGATGGAGAAGGCGACAAGGAGAGGAAAACATGAAAGAATGGGAGGTGGAGGGAAGGGATGGAGCAGATGTTTGCGCAGGGGAAGAAGAAAGCAAGGCTGTACCTCAAGAGTTTAAGTTTTCTGTCTTAATGTCAGGTTTTGTACTCGCATTCCCGCTAGCTACCTTCTTATACTGCTAAAACAAATAAACACAATATAGGTTTATATTAAATCAATGATACACTCAACCTTTTTTTTGTTACCAAAAAGAAGCATACCATTAAGGATTGCCTAGAAACGGTGTGTTGCAGGCCTCTACACAAAGCTTGGCACAGTCTGTTTATCTCTAGACTCAATACACTGCCATCGGCCATTTGTTGTCATCATTCAATTGGTTGCATTTTCTTTTTACATGTGCCCTCAAGACACATGTTTACTCGTTGTGTTTTCACACCTTCTTTTCCTTATTGGCACCTTGATCACATTAACTGATCATGACACCAAGTTGAGAAAAAATCCCTCCCTTTCAAGGACCCACATTTGAAAGATTCAGTTTGATTTGCAATCAAGACCACTATAGCAGATTCATTTAGTGACACTTTTTGTATACTCGTGTTTTACAGACAAAAAGCATCGAGGTGTAACTTCACTCCTGCTAAAAAATGATGTTCTCTTTTTGTTGAGTATTTGTTTCACAAACCGGCATTTACTGATGAAAGCTAATAGATATCACGTTAAGCATAATTATTATGGTGTTATAAAGTGTTGTGAGGCAAATTGGACAGACTAGGTTGGAGACAGCTGTACTGGGAGTTGCAAATGAGACATAATTGCAAACTAATGCTTAATCACTTATGAACAAAACTCCAAATAATTGTAATTATGCAGAGAATAGATTTATGTAAAGATACTGAATGATGAGCCGTACCATCATTTTTTCCTACAAAATGGATACATAGCCTCAGGAATTAATTTCCAGATTAACATTGCAATGCAGCTTGTAATGAACTGTAACCAAAGAGCTATAATGAGATCCTTTCATGGCTAATTAAAGTGAATAAATAGTTAGCTGTTCTTCCACCTCAGGCTGTCAGTTGTTCCCAAAGAAGACAAGCAGGTTTCACGATGTACAAACCCCTCCTTCTCTTTCCTGCTAGTAATGTCTTGTTGTCTGCCCTGACAGGATAACTGATAACTCGGTGTGCCTCCAACTGACAGAGTGAAGGCCCGAGTCTCCTTTCGCTGCGTCTCAGTTATCAACGTAGCCTGAATTAGTCAGTCATCACTCCAGCTTTCTGCAGTGTAGCGTGCCACTTGTCAAAACCCATCCGCAATGACTTGAAGCCTGCTAACACGCACACCTTCTGAAAAAGACAGACAAACAAGTGCGTACACACTCGCATGTCAGGCAGGCAGCCTTCACCTGCAGCTCATTTTAAATGGCATCGCAAGTAGCACAGCAGGATGCAAAACGCCAGCTCTCGCAAGGTAGAAAAAAAGCAAATGGAAAAACAAGTACACTCATTGTGACTCATGAATTCCCACTCTTTTCACACAAAATCAAACATATATGCTTGGCGAATAAAAGACACAGCAGTCCACTGTTTGAAGGAATTTTGTCTGTGATAAATGGTGCGATCTGCATACAGTACACATTGATTTTGAAAATGAATATGTACAGCCTTTTTTTTTTTACACTCGCTTAATGCTGTTAATGATCATCATTTATATAGTAGTCTATTATGTATTTTGCTGTGTATCAGCCTAGTGATGACAAATCCCTGTAATTTCTCAAATTCAATAAAGGGACAGGGAGTCTGTCCGGCGGTGATGTTTGACGTCGCGTGGCGGCAGCGCTGGACATCCATGGTCTGATGCTGGAGAGGAAGTCCGTCCCGCTGTGGACTGTACACACATGAGTTTAGACGCTCTGGTCTGATGTGTCTACAAGGCTGTAGCCATGCTGTGTCACGTATACACATCACTCTGTAGGATCCTGGGCGTCACGGCTCAGGCTGTGTGTTAAGGAGCTGACCTCGCTCTTTGGAAGGTCAGCCTCTCTGCACTTGAAAAGCTTCTCGTGTGCATCTATGCATTCGACAACCCTGCCTGCCTGGCCAACTGCTCGCCCGCCTGCCTGTGTGTCAGCTTCTAATGATGAGGATGATGGAGGGAATCAAAGAGGAGACGGAGCTGACGTTGGGGCGAGCGCTCCATGGGACACCAGGTGATTGGGGAGGGAGCTTTGAAGCAACTTGTTGGATGGCTGTCCATTAATGTAAAATATCTCCTTTTCAAAGGGCTTTATTCAAGCTCGGAGTAGCGGAGCCCATAGGGGTCAAGGTGTATGGCGGAATTATATATCTTTCTTTACAGAGAAAGCAAGATAAAAGAAAGGATAGTGCGCTGTGACCTGGCCTTCTCCTGCCTTCCTGGCGACCTTCCCGACGTCATGGTTTCAGAAATACCGTCGCAAAGGAAGAAAAGTGCAGGAGACAATCCTTGTAATGAGTGGTCTCTGGTTACATTAGGAGTTTTTTTACATGCAGGCTGCTTGTATCAGGCTGAGTTTAGAGCGGGAGGCTCCAGTCTATTTGATCTGTGAATGTTATAAACCATGCTTTTTGATCCTTTCTGGATCGCTATTTATTTAGTTTGGTCAGGGATCAATGCGACTCCTGGCATTATGAGGCAGCCAGCGGTTCTCACAGATCAATTTTCTCCAGTCACCATGAACTAAGGAAGGACAGACAGAATGTAATCTACCAAGTAGCAGGTTTATGAACAGTGAATTATGGCTGCGTAAATCGCTCCATCCGTTTTAAGTTACCACGGTACAGTTACAGGCCGATCTTGGCTCATGAGAGCGACAGTAGGGAAGAGTAACAGAGAGGTTACAGCAAAGATCACAGCCCTCTCATCGTATGCTGTGACAATCCCTCTTGTCTCATTCAATGAGGCTAAAGGCAGACATAGATGACACACAGCAGTCCATCCCGCTCATGACCCCTATTAAATCCCAGCAAATCTTTGATATGTACTTTGATACCATATTTTATTGATACTGGAGGGGTGTTAGCAATATCAAGAACAGTTCTGCATTCCAGCAGATCAGAGCGAGGGCTGTTTCGTCTCAGAAGCTGTCTCGTGAACTTTGAGGGGTCCCCGTCATCTCATACAACTGAACCTCGGTTGGCTGTAGTCCACTTTACTTTTTACAAGAGATTGTGATGTATGGGCTCTCCATGTTGTATTTGTCTACAGTTTCTCTTTCATGGACACACTTCATTTTATTACTTCAGTTATCTGTCCACTAATGATCACCCTGTTTTTATGTTCAACTCAGATCCGTTTGAAGTTATACGAAAAATGTGCATCACCTTTACCACCAACTTTCAGTGCCGTAATCAAATGACCTCCATTGCATTTCATGAATAAGCATCTCCAAAACGTGGTTTATTCAGTACTTCTGAGAGAATAATTTGGTGGTATAAAGGAGAAAACCGGAAATAAATCCCAATCTAAGGATCACCACTACATATACACACACAAGCACTCAAAGGCTCCCGCCTATGATCTGACCTGACAACTCCTAAGCTACCGTTTCCTCTTGCTGCTTAACTGGGACCACATTTCTCCCAGAGAGCCTCTCCCCTCTCACTGGCCGGACCTCTCTCCCCATTTCATCCCTCGCTCTCTCCATTCCTGTAGTCCAGCATCTGGTTTGAATATAGCGGCGTGTGCTGGTGTGTTACTGATAGAAGCTGGGACTGTAGGTTTCGCTTTGATTCTTTTTTTTTTTCCATCCTCCGCATCTCTCTTCCTGCTCAGCTTATACAATGCTGGCATTGAGAGAGCAAAGTTGAGTGTGCAGCTTCTGTTTAGGTGATTTGTGGCTTACTGTGCGTATATATAGATGAATATCAGCCAAGGGAGAGGGCAGGTGGTTATTTGGTGGTGTATTTTTTTATGTTAAATGTTCATCTTCATACTATTTATTCCAGCTTTGTCAATCACCCACGATAATGACACCTTATTTGTTTCGGCATTGTGTAGTTTATTTTTATGATTAGGCTTAATGTCCATTATAATCTATGTAGAAGCATTTTCTTGGCAGAAATGTGACTTTAATTTCATTCTTCAACCATGTATCCAGTAAATGCATCCATGCATTGTTTTTGAATGCTGATAGGAGCTTGGAACAAATGTTTTAAACCTTTTTTGCTCTGGTTAGTCTGTTTTTCATATATACACTGTGGTAGTCATAAGCTGTCGTATCTTAAAACATTTCACATTAGTGATTCAATAGTGCATTCCAGACCAAATGCATGACGTGAAATAATGAGGCTCTCTGTGTGTGTGTTGTGTTCCTTTGCTGCAGACAGAGGCCAGGGAGACCATCCCCAGGATGTTGGCTGAACTGGACCTGGGCCGGACGGAGAAGTGTGTGAGGGTGAACTCTGTGTCCAGTGGCTTTGCTGAGGCTGACCTGCAGGTCATCCTGCAGGCTGAGGTTCTCCCTCCTGCCATCATGTTGCCTAAAGTGGAAGACACACAGGAAGTGCAGTGGGTAAGTTGGAAGTATTTGCCTGCCTTTGAAGTGCTTCTGTCGTTTTCTAAAGTCAAAGAAGACTTACTGAAGTAACCGGAAAGAGATTTATTTCAAAACCATGTGCAATGGATTCCTAAAAAAAAGAAAAAAGAAACCCAAAGTTGCAATACATGCAAAAACTAAACAGGACTAGAACAAACATGATTTTTCTCTCTTTCTCCTCTGGGTGTCTCTTTAAAAAAACACAGCGGTGCTCTTACACAAACTCATGGAGTAAGAGGAAACCACGGGAATCTTGAAAGCAATCATAACAAACTTTTCCATTTCCCAGTAAAACTGGGAATCGATCCCTGTGGCAGAACTCAGGGACAGAGAGTGTTTTTCTTGGCCGCTGCTCAAGTGAAAGATGACATTTCTTCGGATTAGCTTCAAAGCCTGATAGCTCTCTGAAACATCACAACGGGACCTTCTGCTACTGCTGAACTTTTCAAGGAAACATTTTAAGATAAGATAAGAAATTCTTTGTTGATCCCAATTTGGGAAATGTTTGATTAATATTATTGTAAAGGGTTAAGGGTTTATCCAATCAAACTTAAGGCTCCAAATGGGTGCCAATCAATTCCATGCTGAAACATGCATTACATTCAGTTATTTATGGACACCTTTGAATATGTTTTGATATTAACTTGAAAGGCTATCTTGCCAGTTGTGTATGAGCAAGAAAACAAACTGATATCTTAAATTACAAAGTGAGAATGTAAATCTAGTTGCCTTTGGACTTAGTACTTGAAGGTCTCCCGTCACCTCTCTGATCAAAACTCTTCTAGATGTGCAACCACGAAATGATTGCCCACTGATATTATTCCCAATTTTCAGTATTATAAATTGCAATTTGTCCATACCAACTGCGTCCTAGTTAAGAGGTGCTAGTCTGGGCTTGGCCATCCCTCTGGCTTTCTATAAAGGGGCGCTGTACGGATGTCAGGTCCCCAAAGGTCAGGAGACAGTGACATCATTAATGCAGGCTTTTCTGATCAGCTCCATATGGTTCACTTACCACAAGGAACCAGGTTACTGTCAGCCTCCTTCCCTGTGTGTGTGAATACAGTTCACAGGTTCAAGAACTTCTTGCTGAATACGGTTGACATTCTTTTCCTCTCTTTTCACACATTTTAATATGGACATGCTGTTTACATAAGCATTTTTTAAGTGTCTGTTTTCCTCTTTAAATCTTTTATGTCAAGCGATATAACTGTTTGGTGATTACACAAGAAGAGACATTAAGAATTGTTTAGAAGAGAGAGGTCAAAGGAGGGTGTTTTGTTTGGATTTTCCCCCAGCTTTACGCCTACACACACACACACTCACACCCACACACTCACACCCACACACTTACACACACACACACTCACATTCACATACACACACACACACACACACACACACACACACGTTTATGTACACTCATACAAGGTCTGGGGCAGGAAGTTTTTAACTAGTGCTTTTAATTAGAACACATCTATTTCCTGCTGCCCTTTTCTTTCTTCCAAGTATAATTGCTGACAGGTGTTCACTAATTCTCTCCCTAAGCTCAGCCGTTCTTCCCTTCGCTACTTTTCTTCGCTTAAGTCAATTGTATTCTGCATTCATTTCCTTTTTTAAAGAACCAACAACAAAAATACATCCACTGTTGGGTATTATTACGCTGAAAATCAGTCAGCCCATTGAGAGCTATAAAGTGATAGAATAATTGCCTGCTTATGTCCTTTTTTTTTCTAAAGCTTTGTTGCAGGAACACTGAGTGTACTGTAAATCTGTTTGCACGCTGGATTTACAGTGTGCTTGTCGGGGTGTTTCTGCATGAACAGGTGCATGTGTGCTTCTGAAAAAGTCTGTTGCTTTGGATAGGTCCTTGATTTACTCATGTATGCTCATCTAATCTCTTCTATGTCCCTCAAACTTTCTCTGTGTCTTCTTTACTCAAGCTTCTCTGTGTGTGCATTCTTATGCATGTCTGATTTTCTCCACTCTTGTACGGATGCACAGTAAACCCCTTACTTGTTTATTTTTCTCTCTATTGATATTAGCACAAGAACCTCCAGACTGATTTGTCGCTAAAAGATGGACTTGCTTGTTTCCCTTTGTGTGGAAACCTTTAGCTCTGCCTTCCTCCTCTCCCCCAGCCCTTGTGTGACTGACAGGCCTTATTGGGGTATAACAGGCGTAACTCCCTCCTTTGTCTGAGGACAATTCTCACACAGATTCGGAGCCATGTGCATTCTTTGCCCACCACACTATTTGGTGTGCACTGGGACCGAAAGAATCGCACCCTGTCCCGCTCCTCCTCCTCTACTCCTCCTCCCGTCCCCTCCCCTCATCCCTTTCTCCGCTTCCCCTCTGTGAAATGAACACTTCAGCAGGCCGGAAACATTTAATCTGGCCCCCTTTTGAAGAAAATTAATTGAAACTTGTCCCACTATAGCCTCCTTTCTCTGGCTCCATCTCTCCCGCCTTCTCTTTTCATGATTGGGTGGTGAAATTGTCAGAGGGCTTGTTTGTAGCGTGGCTTTGAATGGTGATAAGAGGTGTTATTTCTCCTTTTCTCTTTCTCTTACTTTTGCAATTCAGCAGTGAATAACATCTTAAAGGGTCCTAGTTTTGAGAGCCATTGACAGCTAATGGTTTCTGTATGCAACAGAGGAACAATGAACCGGCGCTATAGTACCTCTTATGTGTAAATCAGGCCCTCAGAGTGTATAATAGCTGAAGAGGAGAATACAGAAGGACAGAAACATGTAATCAGAGAGGCAAGGAGGCTCTTTAGCCAGCGTTGCCGCCGCATTGAGCTGTCATTTGTTTTCCTTCGGCAGAATCCAAACACACGGCTCGGCTCGTCGCGGCCTTGTTGGGGTTTGCGTGGCACAGTGTCGCCGTGGTAATCTCTGTGTGTAATATCAGCCCACAACGGGCCGTATCTATCTAGTTTCCTCTGTCACAGAAATAGGTTTATCTACACCCTCTTTTCACACTCCCTCTCTGACCCCCCCACCCCTTCCTGTGTTTGCGAAGGTGGGGGGATATTATGCTAAGCCCCCAGCGTTAGTTTTTATGTTACCATAGCAGCCTTGCTCCCACAGGGTTGTGACCTCAGATGATTACAGTACAAAGCCTATTGGGTCTTGAAAACCTCTTTGAAGATGAAAAGTCTTTGATGGTTTGTATTTATGCAAATCTCTCAGATATGATTTATCCAACAGAGATTGAATAGAGAGATGATTAAAATTGCCCCTATTTTTTGAAATCCTTCAATGGAGGTCCTCTCTTTCAGTTTTTCTGGACAGGAGTGGTGAGTGCGAGCACAGGGTTGTTTTGCTCCTCATTTAGAAAAATAGCAGTGCTCTACCTGAGGTTATTTATATCTGTCTTTTTTCCTGGTGTGTCAAAGAGGGAGCGAGAGGAAGGGGGGACATGGAGTTAGACATTTCTACTCTGAGCTTTTGCGCTCTCTCCTTTTCTCTTTTTTTTTTTGTGACTGGCATTGAAAGGAAATATCTGACGGAGGGGGCTTTTGTGTGTTTCCAGATGATAGATTTTGGAATTTGGGTTACCCCACTGGCAGTCCAGGGCTAGCTGTGAACTGGTCTGTTGGAAAAAATTGAAATGCTTTGGTCTTCAAAGAATTAAACTTGGTTTTAAAGCCCTACTTAGGTGAGCTTGCATATTAGCAGGAGTTGTGCAGAATAAAGGCCTCAGCAAAGTGTCACATCACACTCTGATTGTTGCTCCAGTCTCCCTGTTCCCTGCCATGGAGGGGGGACGCAAAACAGAATAATGTAGGAGTGACACACTCAAAGACATCCCAAATCTTGTTTCTTCTCCCCTTTACGGTATTCATTTCTTCGTGTGTATGCATGTGCATGTGTGCATTTACATATGTGCGCACTCTCTCAGGGGAACACATGCTGTAGTTCTGCAGAACCTGCGAAAGAAGCTGGAGAGGAAGACTTCAGACGAGGGGGGGAACCCTGGTGATAATGTAAAATATTTCATTTCCCCGCTTTTGTTGTTGCCCTCCTGTGCTCGCTCTCTTCGCTATTTGAACTCTCATAGATGTGTTTCTGCGTAAGGACTGAAATGGAAACAGTGCAGGTAATAAAGGTGTCAAGATTCATATCAGAAGTGAGTTTTTGCATGTTAAGAGTTCTCTTTCCCCCCCCCCCCTCTGTCTGTCTCTTACCCCACAGTGGATTGTGAAAGATGTGTCAAATCATTTATGTATTTTTACTCCTGAGGTTTCTTTTACTACCGGTTTTAAATTCACTCTGACTCGATAGCTCAATATGTAAGCGTTGGTTTTCTGTTTTTCTCATTTATATAACTAATAATGGATCATTAGTCCTACGAGGACTTCAGCTGCACTTAACCACACATTCTACAGAGGAGCACACAAATAGAGACCAGCAGAACATATCATTTCCTTGTAGATCTGTGCATATTAAATACAATATCACAAATCGAATCAGGCTTATCATGAAGTGTTTCCATAACAAAGGATATAGTGAATAGTCAGTGTGTGTGTGCTCCAGCAAAGCAACATCTAATAAAAGTGACGACTGTACAAAGTAGTGAGAACAAATTAATTCATTTTGATTGTTCGGTTTATTGTTTTCTATTTACAGAAGCCCTGGGTGTTGTTAATGAGTCGTGCATGCGATTGTCCCCGTGTGCTTAGTTTGTTGACAGGTTTCAGCACTACTTGAAAGGACGGGCACTGACAGAACCCGTCCGCCTGGTCACCTTTGTGGAAACAGCTGTGGGCCTGCTCAATTTTAAGGTAAATTACAAACAAACCCCCAAAACTGCCTGCGTAAGGCATTTTGCTGTTTGTCCATTGTTCACTTTAGATTAAAGACGGCGTCAGCGAGCACACTCCACGTGTCCAAAATGAAAGGGTTTCAAAGCTTTCGGACAGTCTCTCAAATGAGGCTTTTTTCTGTTTCCCTTTTCTCTGTCTGTATGCCTGCGTCTCTCTCTACCCCTCTCCAGACACACTGATTTTTAATTAGAGCGGTTTGAATATCATCATAGTGGAAAAGTTCTTAATGATATTTTGGCAGGCATCAAAGCGCTTCCTGTTATAGTACGGCACGACCTTCAGCAACATGGGGAAAAGGGCATGGGTTTTGAGCCTTTGGGGTTTGGTTTATTTGTCTTTTAGTTCTCTACTCTGTTTCTGTTTCTGTGACTGTGACTGTGTGTGTGACTGTGTGTGTGGGTGTGGGTCGGTGTGTGGGTGTGTGGTGTTTTCTTGAGGACACCCTGTATCTTTGCCCAGACTGAACCCCAGGTTACAGACATGAAAAAAAGAAATCACTGTGGCACAGCTAGTGGTGAAATTAATTTGGAGGCTAACAAAAGCCAGGAGACGCATTCTTATTGTTTCACGCTCCTCACCACAGACAATCACATTCCACATTCTTCCCCCTTATTCGGTAATAATTGTTGACTGAAGTCGTGCCTTAGAAATGGGGCTTATAATTGTTGGACATGTTCAGTAGTCTTAGGTCTTAATACAAATAGCCATACAACAACTTTGCCTTACTATCATCCTGTAATTAAACATTTCTCAAAGAGAATTAAGTGTGATGACTTTTTCTGCCTGCAAAGGAAATCCGAAATCCAGATTATCTAAACTTTTACATTATCAATAGGTCCAACTTTTTAATTCCTCTATCAATCTGTGACACTTGAGTGAGCCTGTTATAAATGAATACATTCATGCATTCTTTCCAGGCAGTTTGTGAGGAAGTCCGTCGACTTGCTTCGAAGGCCGGCCTCCACCATGACGGTGTGGTGTTTGGCTCTGATGACTTCTGTGCCAGCATAGGTAGTCATTACACCTCCTGCTTAACTTTCTGCTTGCTGTCTTGTACTTGTCTCTGTTACTTTTTCAATTACCCTTTCAACCACCCTTCAGGTGCCACACGGACCAAAGATGCCAGGGAGCTCCTTTACGCCAGGCAGAAGGTGGTCGTGACCACCAAAGCGTTTGGGCTGCAGGCTATCGACCTGGTCTACATCGACTACAAAGATGTGGAGGGGCTGAGGCGACAGGCCAGGGAGGGCGCTCTCATGGGCTTTACAGGTAAAGCTCCTGCTAAATGGGTCTCTAATCTGCCCATGTCCCATTAAATAAGGTCACCTCAAGTCATGATCACAACATCTTGGGCCATCCCAGAAATTGCTGTTTTCTGCACATCATTCAGCAATTGGCCTTTATTTGTATTCTTCACTTCTCCCTGTGGCTGCAAGCCCCCAGGAAGTGCGCCAGACTCTGAGGAAAATATTAGTTGTGGCCAAATGGCAGTACTACACTTCCGTATCAGTCGCTTGCCCCGGAAATACTTTTTCCCATTGACTAACATTGGGAAAGAGACGTCTGTAAATCGTTGGATAATTTTTAAACTAAATAAACTACCCAGTATGAACATTTGTATAGTATTAAAAACATTCGGTCCTCAAGTTGTAAAATGTGCTAATAACGTTATTCTGAGTTATTTTCTTCTGCATTATGAACCGCGCCGCCCGGCACGTTCATGCGACGTGTTCAGTACTACATGAGTTTTACCTTTACCCATGGATGCACAATAAGAACGGATTATATGAATACTTTCGTGACGTTTCGCTTTCTCAAAAGTTGGGCCATTTTGTCTTCATGCTCCAATGAGCAACTCTCATAGGAATGAACGAGGCCCCGCCTTCCACTCTGTATCCAGTTCTTATTATACATCCATGTGTGGCTGCATAACGGACTGTCCTCAACTTCCTGTTGCCAGCAGCATTCAGACAATCCAACATGTTGTATCTGTTCCTCCTTGCCTCTTTAATCAGGTCTTTCTCTTTCTTTGTTCCAAGTGAGAATAGGATGTATATGTTATTTGAGTTAAAACGGAGTGGAAGGTTGCAGACCATCTGGCTTTTCATTTGAAATCCATATACTTGTATGATTCATTGTAATGAATGTCTCAAAATGACCATTGTGGCAGTGGTTTAAGAACTGGCTGCTTGTCTTTTTTTAAGCACCTCAGGTGCTGCTAAAGTGAATTGTGAATGACACAGCTGTCCTTAAATGCTTTTCTGACATTTATTTTTGTGCCACTATGATTGGTGTTGTGTGTGTGTGCACTTGGGTGCTTACCTGCTTATGTGCAAATATGCAAATATGCATGTGTGTGTGCTAAAGTATGATTTTAAAGGGAGTTAAAGTAGTGGTAGGGTCTACTTTAACAGCGCTCTCGGTGAGTCTGTAGCCAGGCAACGCTTGCAAAATGTGTGTGTGTGTGTGCCCCGCGGACTGCGTGTAACAGACCACAGAAGGCTGGACAGCCTGTTCCAAAGTGGATATTCCAGTCATTCTTCCTCTGCCGCAGCACATTTATATATTCTGATATTGTTATCCTTTGCAGACTGATTATTTTAACATATGATATACTTCCTACTGTGATTTGTTTCCACATAAAAAATGAGGGTGTGGGTGAATCTCATTATATACTGTTTTATTTTCCTATGTTATGTTTAGATTGTTATTCTTTGAATGTGAGATCATTGAACGAAGCAATTAGCCAGCATTCATTCAGGAATGAAATGGAGAAAAAGAAGCACTTAACACTTTTTGGGCTCTGAATAATTGTGAATGATGAGCACACGCTCCAGGTTGCCCTGGCCTAGAGACATGTTACCTACACTTCATCAAATCCTGTGTGTGTGTGTGTGTGTGTGTGTGTGTGTGTGTGTGTGTGTGTGTGTGTGTGTGTGTGGTGTGTGTGTGTGTGTGTGTGTGTGTGTGTGTGTGTGTGTGTGTGTGTGTGTGTGTGTGTGTGTGTGTGTGTGTGTGTGTGTGTGTGTGTGTGTGTGTGTGTGTGTGTGTGTGTGTGTGTGTGTGTGTGTGTGTGTGTGTGTGTGTGTGTGTGTGTGTGTGTGTGTGTGTGTGTGTGTGTGTGTGTTTCTTTTTCCAGGTTAATTAAATATTTACATTTATTTACACACTACTGTTAGTCGCATATTATGTTGAGGGGTTTCTTAAACCTATGCACATATGTTTAAATAATTTGCCTTTTTGAATCAAATGGGTTTGTTTTTTTTGCAGAAAAAATATATTTTTGAGATGGTAGCAGCCGGTTGATGAAATAAATGGTCCGATTTGATATGGAACCGAACCATCAAAGCACTGGATTAGTGGTTTACAAGCCATGGGCACTCTGTATAATCTTAGTTAGTAGCTATTACTGGCCCGAGTGTGCTTAAGCAATAATACGGTGCAGCCAAAAGCGTCTACCTGTGCAGTAATTGACCTTGGCACTACCTAAGCTGCATCCAGCACCCATTAGCACTGAGCACAGAACACACTGGTGACACACACATCTAGACTTCTTACCAGTACATGGGACATGCAAGGCAAAATCCAGCAAAACCTTGACAAAGTAAATCTGTTTGGGAGGAAGGTCATTAATTTTTAGGTATAAAAGAGTGCAGTATCTTTATTTTATAAGCACCTTGTTTTATGTGCTTTATACTACATGTCACTGCTTAGACTGAATGATCCTTCCAAAAGTGTTTGCCTCACTGACATAGAAATCGGTTCCACAAAGCTCTCTGCTTTCAGGGAAGGCATTTCACTTCCATCCCTGGGACTCTGCCCATCATTCGCCTGAGAGCACTTTGCTAAATGGCAATCCTCCAATGAGATGCCAGCACCACATGGCAGGCCAGGATTGGCTGGAGGGCATGAGTGATGCATTTTAGGAGAACCAATGGGTTGTAACTGAGGGCACCTGAGTCACCCTGTCTGTTTCCTCTTCACTCTGTCATTCTCCTGTTGTCCTACACAGGCACGCACACACTCACACAGACATACCCTCAAAGAGACACACTCTTTAAATATATTTAAACCAGCCAATTTCAGTGTGCAAACATGTTCCTTTCTCCAAAACAGAAGTAAAAAAGGTGGCTCCTCTGGCCTACATCCTCGCAATAATACAATATCTGTATAATATCCAAACTACAATTGATATTTTAGTACTGCAGAGGCACGGGCAGCCACAAATAAATATACACAAGATTGCACGCACACTCACACACGCACACTCCTACAAATCTCCAGCGTGGCCCTGGGGAGTCCTCAGGCTGTTAGTCCAACCGAAAATGTGCAGTTAGTGTCTCCGCCTCACACAAACAAACACGCAGGCATTCATGAATTCGCTAACAGGTGCCACATTTTATGATGTGCATGATTCCCTCGAAGAAATCTATTTGTCATAAGTTGCAAGTCAATGAATTGTGTTCTCTCATTAGTAATTGTTCAAGCCTTTAACTACAGTGTGCTCATTGTGTTGGTGCTCTGTGTGTTTTTTGGAGGTTAACTGGGGTGAGCGGAGCTGGATGCAGGGTGTGGGTTCTCTCCTCCCCTTTCCTCTTCTGTCTTATCCTCCTCTCCCCTTCTCATTTCTCCTGGGCAATTTTTTTTCGCGCGTGCAGCCCGCCTGCCCGGCCACCTTGAAGGATTTGTTGTCAGCGACAGAGCTAAGCCCTAAAGTGTCGAGTTCCTGCTGGCTGCCGCTGAGCCGTCATTCTCATCAGACGTTTCATAACCTTAACTTATCACTACAAGTTTGATCTGCAAATGTACACGGGATTATGTCTGCGGCGTTAGCCCACATTTAACTGAGACGGAGTGGGGGCGGGAGGGTGGGGGATTGTCTCAGACAGAGCCTTAACTCCATGTTAGGCTCAGTTGGATATAAGATGCCATTTCTGAAAGGTATGCAACCACTGAGGTTCTGAAATTGTATAAAATGTTATCATGGGAAAACACATGCATTTCTTTTATTTTTACCAGTTGATAATAGAAAGTATTTGAATGAAGACGCTTGAAAACATTTAACATGTTTGAATATGGTTATAAATATAATATTTGGTCTAAATGTATTTTTCTTAATTTGTTTTATTTTATTGGCATTTTTTAAGAGTTGCTGTGTATGTTTACTTGGGCTCTGTGTGTTATTCCCTCTTTCACATGCTGAAGTCTAAGGACAGTCAGACAGAAGGCCTGCGAGCAGAAGTGATGATGCACAGCCTCCTCTGGTCCCGTGCTGACCATCTGACTCACCTCAGTGTTGCCATAGGATACACATAAACACACGCACACTCAATTTAGTCCTCTGTATTTCCTGTTTCTCTTGTCTCATTGCTTTTCTGTGTTGTGGTTTCTCCCCCTCGTGAACAGTGCCGGCTACAATCCCTCATCAATCTCAGGGATTTCTTTTTCCATTCATGCAGCTGTTTGCTCAACAGTTTTCATAATAAAATATCTTGTTTGTTATAATCAGGGAGTGTAATTGGCACAAACTGGGTTATTGAAAGCTCTGTGCCAACATGTAAAAACATTGTTTTTTAGCTCAAATGTCTCTTTGATTTGAAGCCTAGCCTGCTGTTACCTCGTCGCTCTCTCCTCTCGCGCGCGCTCTCTCTCTGTCTCTGCTCGCGCGCGGTCGCGCGCGCGCGCGCGACGCGCGCGCGCGCGCGCAGCGCCGTACACGCGCGCGGGACACGCGCGCGCCGTCGCGCGCGGCGCGCGGACACGCGCGCGCGCGCTGGACACGCTGCGGGCGGACACGCGCGCGCGCGCGCGTACAACGCGCGCGCGGCTGGTACTACGCGCGCTCGCCGCGCGCGTCGGACACGCAGCGCGCGCGGTACCATCGCGGCCGGGCGGACCACGCCGCGCGCTGCGCGGACACGGCGCTCCGCGCGGACACGCGGCGCGAGCGCCCGCGCGGACAGCGCGGACGAGCGCGGACACGCGCGCGCCGCGGGTCAATCGGCGCGCGAGCTGCGCGGAGAAGAGCGCGAGGCGCGTACACGCCGGCAAGAGACAGCGCGCAGCGCGCGAAGAGAGACGCGGTCGATATGGCTTAGCTACACTATCTCTAGCTGAAATCTCTCTCTTAGTATCGCTTCCTCGTATATATCGAGCGATCGTTTACAAGATCCTCTCTACTATAGCGCTCTCTATCTCTTCTCTCTCTCTCTCTCTCTCTCTCTCTCTCTCTCTCTCTCTCTCTCTCTCTCTCTCGTGCAGGTAAGCAGGTTATCCACCCAGGGCAGATCCAAGCTGTGCAGGAGGAGTTCTCCCCCAGTCTGGAGAGGGTCCAGTGGGCCAAAGAGCTCATTGCTGCTTTTGACCAACACCAAAAGGAGGGAAAGGTAATGTTACTATTCTCTTCCAAAGTAATTATTTTACATTTAAAAATAAATAGCCAGCTATGGATGGTTATTTCTTAGACAATTCACAAATGTGTTATCTATCAATATAACTTAATAGATTGGGCAAAAGCAATATGAATAAATGACACAAAAAAACACTGCCCATTGCTCTTTAATCGTTTTTTAGCATTTATCCTGATGGATAAATGTTTTCAGTAAGTTAACTTGGGTAACAACCTCATTAAAATGTCATGTGATTTCAGATTTCTTTCTTCCAAATCAATTAAAACACACAATAACCGCACAAAACAACTTTATTTATTACAAATCCTTTCATCATTGAAAAGGGGAGATATGTCCTATTAACCAGGGGATATTGCTATATGAGACTTTCTGTAATGTATGTGTCCTGCGTGACTCATTATCTGGGACTCTTCAGATGAGCGGGGTGTTTTTCTGCTCTGAGACTCGGACTGATCCTTTTGTGTTCCCTCTCGCACACTTCTGTAGTTCCAGAGAATACATACTGTACACCCCTGGGTGACTCTCAGAGATGCATAGGAGGGGTGGGGGGGAGTTGGGCCAATTAAGTGTACAATATTATTGTTCCTAATTTAGTGCATGGTTGGATCCTGTGTGTTGCGCTCTGTGGGCTATCTGCTGAGGTAATGCACAATCTGCCCGCACCTCTCTTCCCTGCCAAGGCTGCCTATACTAAGAATCGCCAGGACGGGATTAAGATCCTAAAAATCACTTGCATGCTGGTGTAGTGTGTTGTGTGTGTGTGGTGTGTGTGTGTGTGTGTGTGTGTTGTGTGTGTGTGTGTGTGTGTGTGTGTGTGTGTGTGTGTGTGTGTGTGTGTGCTGTGTGTGTGTGTGTGTGTGTGTGTGTGTGTGTGTGTGTGGTGTGTGGTGTGTGTGTGTGTGTGTGTGTGTGTGTGTGTGTGTGTGTGTGTGTGTGTGTGTGTGTGTGTGTGTGTGTGTGTCAGTCCCTTTGTCTCACCACACGACAGGTGCTTGTTTTTCATAAGTGTCACCCCCAGCTATTGACTGCATTTTACTGACTTGATGTTTCTTGGAGATCTTTCAAAGTTCATGTTATTCCTTATAATTTACACATCTCCATGCAATGTTAGTCTGTGCGGTTTTTCCTGGCAGTTTTGAATGGCTCACTTGACTATGTCTACTTAGGTACACTTTCATCTGCAACTTCATTTTTTTTGCAATTATTTAGTATTAATTACTACAGGTTAAAAACAGCAACTACATTTTATGATACTTCTCTATTAATGCAAAATGCATTTCAGGATGGCTCTCATAATGTGGCATGTTCTGTTTTTGGTACACTACTCTACTTGCTGCGTGTTCACATTATACCCGGTCTAATTTCTGTCTTTCTGTTCTCACCTCTGTGTAAACCTGTTCAGGGTGCGTTCACCTTCCGTGGCAGCATGATTGACATGCCCTCGGTGAAGCAGGCGAAAAACATCGTAACGCTCTCCGTTGTGGTGCCAGAGAAATGACACAACTGGTGGGAAGAATCACGAGGAACCGCACAACTTCACCCTGATGGGAGACGTCAAAGGGAACGGGAACTCTTGCTGGTTTCAGCACAAAAATGGCACTTTGAAGTGTTATAAACTATATTGCTGGACATAACTGGATGGTGGAAATTGTGGTTTTAATTGAAGTTTTAATAAATGTGGAAATTGTTTTTATTTAATTTGATTGTTATGGCAATTGCAATAAGTTTTACTTTTTCTTTGTTGGTCCTTTTATTCACTCGTGGCGTGTATTGACGATTACTGCCTTGTTTGGGCACTTTATTTTGGCACACTGTGTGCCATCATGTCATTCTTCATGTATGTGTGCCCATGCCTCCCATCTCTCCTAGGTCATGATGAATGCTCTCCCACCTCCACGATCCAAGCAGCTGGGTGAAAGGGTAAACAAACACAACAAGCCACTGTTGTGGATCTATTCATTAGGCCCCAGTGCTCCAGTTAGGCCTCAGCCCCCTGCCCAGGGCCCGACTCACAAACATCAAAGTCTCACTCGCTTAGAAAACACAGATGGAAGTGCGTAAACTTACGATTTCGCTTTTTTTGTGTCAGCCTCCTCAGTGAAGACATTCAGCTCGCCCTGTGGCAGCCGTGAGCCTGCGGTCTTGATGGAGAAGGCGTGTGGCGTCACACACACACCATGACCTGTAAAAAATGTAAAGAAACACTGCATACATGCACATGCTGCGACAGTATTCTTTACTTGAACGCTTATTTAACACAAAGATTTAAACTTGGATTATTGTTTCCAGACTGTCTTTTTGCTCCTCGACAAGTTCAGTAAAGTCGTTTGTTGTGCTGTAACAAATAAAAGCACAAAGGCGCTCTGTGGAGAGCTTGTGCATGTCTGACTTCCAGAGACAGTGAAGTGGGTGTGATGTTGGAGTGAGACAGATTAGTGGCCATGTTGCGCCAGCAGACCAGGACCGAGGCTTTGTCTCTCTGACTGTGGATGGGAGGATAATTGGGGGGGTGTTGAATGGTTAATAGTGCCATTGGTGACCATGGTAATGAAAGGCACCATACCCCACCTCATCCCCTCATCTCGCCCTCTCTCACTACTGTATGATCTATTGTGTCTGGGGCAGGACTGTGGTCTGTGCCAGGCCAGACAAAAAGATTGAAACCACTCCTGCGCCCAGCCAAAGACCCCAACAGTAAGCTGTCTCTTTGGCATTTGGCCACATATTTCTCTCACCCCTGCTCACTTTTTTCTGCCATGAATTCACATTGTTTGTTTTCACCCAATGTTCCATTAAACCCTTACGTTGGTAGACACAACTGTTATGTATTACTTTAATTAAATAAATCTACAAACGGTAAAGAACCATTGTGCAGGCTCTGTGGATCTTTTAAACAGGCATTGGACAAGCCACATCTCACACTTGGTCATTCTGCAATGTGTTGTTTGTGAATAACCTGTGCTGATTGTATGAATCAAACGTTTTTCTTGATTTGAGGTTATGTCATTCAAATGGGCTTCACTGATTTGTATCAAACTTGAAACTCTGACTTTTTTTAAACTTGCAAATGTATCATTTGTTGCAGCTTAGTCTTTCCACAATCTGAAGTGAATGCTGAAAGAGTTACTGGAGGAAGTCCACTTTGATTTTGCATCAATTAGTTTAAGCTTCTGCATGTCTTTTAATTGTGAAATCATTAAATGCAATTAATAATTTGAGTTTGGAGGCTAAGTATTGTCTCCAAGTATTCACTGAATACATATTTGTGTTTTTGTAAGGTTGATAATGAAAACATTTTTTTTTTTTTAAATGTTTACTTCCAAATGTTGAATACAACATCTATTTCCCTATTGAGTACAAACTGCATAATAGGCTCGATCAAGCCATTCGTGGACATATGTGCTGCACTCAGAGTTGAAAAGAGGCTCACCAGGTGACTTCAGTGGGGAAGGAGGCCGGTCTTACGGGACAACATGGCTTTTCGGAGCTACTCTGCACCAACAGGTGTCCCTCAAACAGGAAGGAAGGTCTCTAAGCAGAGGAAGCAGCTCAGGGCATCATGCAGGGACCAAGCAAAAAGGGCAGCTCTTCTGAGGATGATAAGGAAATAATTTGGCTAGTTTATATTACAACAAAACACAACATCCCCTTAGTGTTTGTTTACCACCTTTTTTATTATCATTCTTTCTAATATAGGTTGCCCTTATTTCCACCACACTCTCTCAGCCCTCTGCCTGTAGGTAAAACAAACGCTGTCTTTTGCTCTCGTTTTGCTTTTATTGCACCTTGACGACTTTGCAATTCAATAACATTTTGGAATGAGAAAGCCAAAGATTTCAGTGACATCTCTGTAGATTAGAGGAATGCATCCCTGTCTGCCTCCGCTGTGTAATTCTACATGACATTTCTATTATGTGTGGAGCTGATATAATCTTCTCAGTCCTCTCGGTAGTTTTATTTAAATACATCTCTCTGGTATTCCCTGAGAGAGTAAATTACAATTAACACGATTATAACCTCACAAAATTGTGACGGGAATCAATTAGGCTGCGAGCAGTATTTCATAGCCCGGTAATGTGTTGGTCGAGATTGCTTTCATAAATTACGAGAGACAGCGCAGGCGGAGAAAATGCATGTATGCAAAACACTGTCAGAGGAAAATTAAAACGAAATGTTTTACATATTTTTCCATTAATCTAAATGGGACCCGTGTGGCAAAGATGGTTTTATTCTAATTCCCCGCCCGGGGATGCCCAAATAATGACTTGATGTTTTAATAGACTTCTAATGACGATATATGACAAAGTAATTGCAGCAAAAGATTATTCTAAAGCAATGAAATGCCTCGTTATTGTAACTGCAGCACAGTTTGATAAGTGTAAACCTATTAGCAACAATGACTTAAAATATAACGTTATGAGCTGATCAACATAAAACATTTAGTTTTAGCTAATTAACTGCGTTGCGATATTTTGTTATATTGTTTGAATAAATTAAAACCTTTTCCAAGTGGCTCCAAAAGGCCATTTCCTACAACTAGCCTATTAGTCAGTGATAATTTTCAAGTGTCCAAGGCCTAGTGCAGAAAAACACAATGAAAAGTATTAAATATCGCTTTACAAATTCCTAATAAAAATGCTTTAGATTAAATATAAACTATTTATTTTTGCTTTGTGAGGATAAGCATGTGGTAATTGTAAAAGTGAAAATTTGAAAATGCATTTAAGAAAATGCAGCCTCAAGTAAATTGATCATTTTAAAATAAAAACATAATTATAACGTAAAAGCAAATTGAATTCCGAAACTTGTTAATAAAATATTGAAGCTATCTATCTTGTTGGGTCATTGTACATGTATGGCAGGTAAGCGTTTCTTACTGCATTAATTAAGTATTCTGTCATTTTATTCTGAATGTTATCGCATGTTAGGATATGTTTTGATATTTTCTTCAGAAACCACGAAAAGCAGTCGGTCTTTTTATCAAGCGCCGAGCCTTTTATTTCCCCACCGATGACAGGCGCATGTCCAGCCTCCTTTTCTTTCCTTTTTTTCCCCCAGTTCGTTTGCATGATATGAAATTCACCGTGGCCTGTCTGTCCTGCCTGAGTGATCTGGCACATGTGGACCATTACTAACTTAATTTGAGAAAACCTTTTGTCTGAGTATCAGCGACGGAGGGACGCAGGCGCGAGGCAGGATGCAGGATCAGAGTTGTTAGATCCTTTTTATTTTTTTTATTTCACCTTGATATTTTAGAATAAATCTATGTTTATGCAAAACCATAAAAACACCCTTAATAGGCCTCATGTAAAGCTAAATAATATACATTTTCCAAACCAAATAAATGTAATCTACAATAAATTATATTCATTTAGGTTGAATTGTTGTTGCCACTGCACGTCAAGTTTAATCAATATTTCATTTCCAGCACCAAACGGGTATAAACATAATAGTGTATAGCTGCATGCATCCCACCTGCATTAGGTCTATCATAAAGGTGATGTTGGGGAGGGGTCCTTATATTTAATTGTACCCACCAACTGGTCCAGGCCTCTGTTTGAAGGCCCTCCCTGCTTCTTGTAGTTTAGTTATTGGAGGTCCGGTTCTCTTAAAGTCCAGGCTCCTGGGTTTATTTACCTGGTGGATAAATATATATTTGCAGCAAAAAAAGTCACAGAAATGAAACAGACTTGGCAAGTTGGCAACATCTTACCCTCAGGTGTTGACTCATATGCAAATTAGGATGCATCTTGTCCCACATTGAAAAATCTAATGAAATTATTGATTGTACAATGTATAGGTAAACATATTTTAGATGACTTTACCTTCCTCCTTAGCCCTGATTCCCCCAGACTCCCTTCTCCTTAACGGGCTCAGATCAAAGGCTGCCCAGAGACCACTAAAACCCGCGCGCTTTGTCTGCTGTTGCCAGGAGTGAGGAAGGGTGTCGGTGGGGAGGAGGGGGGAGGCATGGTAATGAGACTCGTTACAGAGCGACACAAAGTCCCTGCAACTTTTTCATTTTTTTACCACAAGTGTCCATCTGTCGTCCTTTCTGACTCAAGTTTCCTCTTCACTGCAGCACAAGTTTCTTTTTTGTATTTCTTTTTCTAGGCCTATACTTTATTTCCTGGGGATTACAGCCGCACATTTGCATGGTGAAGTAAAATAAAAATAAATGTCTGATTCACAACTTAAATGGGATGGATGCATGTCTGAATGTGATTTTCACATTAATAACGCACATCTGTCACAGTTAATGCACTTGAATTAAATAATGAAACTGCACCTATTTGCTCTTGAGTCTTGTTTGTTTGTTGTTCTTTGTTGTCCCTAAACGCACCAGACAAGACAGACCAATATAAGTTTACGCGACCGACACAGACAGTTTAAGGGAGAGAAAAAGGTAACAGCACCTCATGAAAACAACATGTCTGCGGAGGTCTGTGGCCATACTGACATAAACGCACATCAGATCTCTCACCCGCCTCTAGCAGTTAATTAGGCAGTCAAATGTTAAGCCAGTGCCAAACAATAATGGGTTCCATATTACTCATGTTGAAAAATGAAATGAAACCTTCTTGGAAACAATTTCTCATAAAGGCAAGTATTTTCGAATAGGAAAATAAATTATATATGACTTTTCAGGCAAGTATATGTTGTGATCTCATGCTGCTGTCTTTGTTTTACCCTGTTTATCTGCAGGTTATCATTATTTGACGTTGTATAATGAAAGCATCCACAGTGGCTCAATCCAACCTCTTTTTTTCGATTCCCAGGTTTAGTTTTTTGACCAAAATATTGCGAAAGATTTTGTTGGGACATCCTAAACTTGTATTATTTATATACAGGGTGTGTTAACATGATCTTTTAGCGTTAAATGTTTATTACTGAAAATTAAATCTATAATTGTCCTCTTAAACTTTTATACCTAATTTAATTTACCTCGTTGGAAGTATTGCTAACTATTTTTCGGGTTTTTAAATGTTGATACAAACTGATATGTATAGAGTGATAATTTCCCATCTCAACACAATCAAAAAACAAGCTTTTGATGTGCACCCGCCCCTCTCTCTCTCTCTCTCTCTCTCTCTCTATCTCTCTCTCTATCTCTCTCTCTCTCTCTCTCTCTCTCTCTCTCTCTCTCTCTCTCTCTCTCTCTGGTTGAGCAGGTGGAGGCCGCGCACCTGCACACACAGCTGCGCGCACCTTGTTATTGCTGCCGCTGCTTGACGCACAGATGAGCGCAGCGCACAGCCAACAACACAATCCCGACGATATAAACCTCTCCAGTGCCTCAGCGTGCTGCACTTCTTTTAATGGAGAGACATGAAATGATTTCTGGTAATTATTTTGAGGTAGTTATCAATTAAATTATATCTAAACAAAATAGAAAAGAAAAAATCACAAACAAAGTTATTTATCTAGTGTTTTCCCAGCCGTCTACCTCTTGTTTGTCATGCTCCGGACTTCCAACATGACACCATCTAATCCAATTAAACACGATAACCCTGGACTAACGTATTATTCTCTTCCTTTTTCTTTTGAGTTGCTGACAAGCACTCTTGGTTTTGTGTGAAAGAGAGAGTCAAGAGCCCTCTCTTAATCCCGGGCACGACTAGGAGTGATTGAAAAGTGAAAGAAACCCCTCATTGGTCCTCGAGCTGGATGGTGTTTTCTTTGTCCAGTACTCTGGCTTTTTGTTTAGTGCGGTCATCATGCATAGCAGTCCTTTCTGTGGGCTCTTTAAAGGGAAATCACGTCCATTGAGCCGGTGACAGTTATTAGTTAGTATCATAGAAGTATACTTTATTGAAACAACATAAATAGCCACAACTCTCTCATTATCTTGTTCAAACTTGTTGTAATCCAAATGATAATTGGGATTTAAAAAAACAATGAAACATGTTTTTTTGTTATGTAAAGTGTGCCATAATTTGTCGTCTTGTTAAAATGGTTTAAGGAGATTAGGCATGTTATTAAAAATAACAAGCATAACAAAAATCCTTAATTGTAAACACCCTCCCCCAACCCCTCTTGCACACAAACTTCAGTGCAAATTCTGAGATAAATGAAAGTGAAACAACGTTTCGTGTAAAACTATAGACTGCAGCTCAAACACACCAAAAACATTAAGGTATAAGAAGCTGCATTTTAAACTGGCATGTAAAATGTAATGTTATATGTTAAAAGTGTCTCAAATTCCTACTTTCAA